ACATAGTTATCATTTTTGTGGTTAAAGCACATATCCACTTTCTGCAGTTTTCAAGAATACAGTGTATTGTCATTTACTGCAGTCACTTCCTGTACCTCTTGATACACCTTTTTTGCTGTATCTCTTGAAATTTATTCCTCCTATCTGATGTAATTATGTGTTCTTTGACAACATCTCAGCATTTTCCCCCTAGGCACTCACCTCTGGTTACCACTATTTCACTCTCAACTACTTTTCTTTTTTTTAAGATGGAGTTTCACTCTTGTTGCCCAGGCTGGAGTGTAGTGGTGTGATCTCGTCTCACCTCAACCTCTGCTCTCCGGGTTTAAGCGATTCTCCTGCCTCAGCCTCCTGGGTAGCGGGTATTACAGACATGCAACACCACACCTGACTAACTTTGTATTTTTAGTAGAGACAGGGTTTCTCCATGTTGGTCAGGCTGGTCTGGAACTCCCAACCTCAGGTGATCTGCCGGCCTTGGCCTCTGAAAGTACTGGGATTACAGGTGTGAGCCATCACACCCAGCCTCAACTTCTTTGAGATCAGTTTTTTAAATTCCACATATAAGTGAAACCATCTGGTGTTTGTCTTTCTGTGCCTACATATTTCACTTAACATAATATCCACTGGGTTCATTCATGTTGTTTCAAAAGGCAGGATTGCCTTCTTTTTTTATGGTTGAATAGTATCTCATTGTGTGTATGTGTGTATCTATATACACATGTATCCTTTGATGGACAGTTAGATTAATTCTATGTCTTGCGTATTTTGAATACTGCTGCAATAAACGTGGGAGTACAGATACGTCTTCAACATACTGTTTTTATTTCCTGAGGATATATGCCCAGTAATGGGATTGCTGGATCATATAATAGTTCCATTTCTAATATTTTGAGGAAGTTCCATATTGTTTTCCATTATGGCTGTACTAATTTTCATTAACACTAATAGTATATAAGGGTTTTCCTTTCTCCACATTCTCACCAGCTTATATTTTGCCTTTTTGATAATACCCATTCTAACAGGTGAGGTGCTTTCTCATTGTGGGTTTGATTTGCATTTCCCTGATTAGTGATGTTGAGCATTTTTTTCTTATACCTGTTAGCCGTTTGTGTGTCTTCTTTTGAAGAACATCTATTCAGGTCTTTTGCCCATTGCTTAATTGGATTATTTGTTGTTGTTGTTGTTGTTGTTGTTGTTTGCTGTTGAGTTATTTGATTCTTTATCTCCCTTGTCAGCTGTATAGCGACATACAAAGGAATGAAGCTAGACCCTTATCTCTCACCATAAAGAACAGTCATTTCAAAATGGCATTAGAGAATTAAATATAAATCCTAAAACTATGAACCTGCTATAGAAAGAAAACATAGGGAAAATGCTTCATAACATTGGTCTGGGCAAGGACTTTTGGACATGACCTTGAAAGCACAGGCAACAAAAGCAAAAATGGCAAATGGCAATATTATTATTTTCTTAATAAAAAATTATACTAAAAGCATTCAGAATTTTAACAAAACAACTGCAGCTTTTTGTTTTTGCAATTACAGAGTGGTATTTAGTTAACAGAAAATTATTTCCTATAAGCTGCATAGAGACAACTGAAGATGAAGAAACTACCATCTCCATATGTAACTGATTTGTTCTGTGCACCTTTAAATTCCATGCCATTTTATAGCCACCATATTATACGAGGAAGGTTAGTGGCTATTGAAAATACCACCAGGACAGGGCTATCTGAAGACACGTTTGGTAGTGTATTAACTGTACAAAAACAGAGAAACACTGTACAGTTTGAAAACAAATCTTACACAGCCTTACATTTCAGTTTTTCTTCAAAAGGAGTGAGTTGTGTACAGGAGGGTTAAATGCTTTATAGACAAAAAAAGCCTAGAACCAACTGATTTGTCATCATCTTCATGTTTATCTATTTTCCTACTTGTCTTCCTTGTCTTAATTTTCCTCATGTTCCTTCTTTTTCTTTTTTTCAGCCTTAATAACCCCTGGTTTTTTTTTTTTTTTGGAGCATCAGGCTTCCCTTTAGCTTGGTATGCAGCAATATCCTTCTTGTATTTTTCCTTTAGCTTCACAACCATCTTTCCATAACATTGCTTGTCATCTGCAGCAGTGTCATCTGCATCTCTCCCAGTTTCTTTGCGATTTATCCAGTGGATAGGCCAGGATGTTCACCTTTTATTTTTGGCCCAACTCAGAATGGAACAAGAAAAAGGCCAAACAAAGGAGGCCTCTTGGGTGTCTTGGGATCCTTGAATTCTATTTTGTTTAACCTTTAGGAGGCATGTAGGTTTTCATTTCTCATTCTTAGTGGGCCTGGTTTGTCTTTGCCTGTCTTCACATTTTCCCTTTTCTTTAGCAAACATGGTTTTCCACCTCTTTGAGCACTTCATAGAAGACCCGGAGAAGCTGACTGAAGCCTCTGGGTGCTGCTTCTTGTGCTCCTCCTGGCAAGTTTTCACAAAGAACGCGTATGATGACATTTTGCTTCGTGACTTCTTTGGATCTGCTCATGTTTGGTTATTTTTCTTCGGCAAGGCACAGAGTTGTTCCGTGCCTGTCTGGCTCAAACTTGCCCTGGCATTGTTTCTATGGAGCTCAGTGTACTGCCGACACATGGGATTATATCAAACATAGGTGGTTCTGCGTGGCAAGGGAAATAGTCAACAGAATGAAGAGACGACCTACATAATCGGGAAAATATTTGTAAGCTATACACTTAACAAGGGGTTAATATTTTCATTCTTTCTGAATCTATAATTTATAATAAGCTTTTTTCTTTCATTTTTATGTGGCTCTTCCTTGACCTTGGATTGTCACATGTAGTTCCTGCTATGTGGCTTTCTGTATGTTTATAATTTTAATAGTTTATCTTGGGGCTTCCCAACCTCTTTCCCCACCCTTCACCCTGGTATTGACTAGAAATCTGTCTTAGCTCTTATTCTTTATCACATTGTGTTCACTCTTGCTCATTTTACCTGCCTTGATATCTAACTCCCTTTTTTATAGAGATGCCTTTTGACTACTTCTTCATCTCCTTTGCCCTCCTACTTCTCATTGCCTTTAACTAAAATTCTAGATTAGATGTCTTGTTTAACCTAGTGAAACCAGCTTCCTTATCTTTCTCCCTAACTCCTTCTTTGTACTTATCTTTGTAGTCACTGGGGAAGGTGTCGTCATAAAGTCTGGCAGTGAAAGAGACTGAACATGGACTGGCCTTTAACCCGTTGTTCCCCAGCCCTAGTTCCTCTCCCGCTAGTGTGAAACCATATAGCTCACTTGTTATTCTTCATCCTTCTTTTCTCCATTCTTATGGATAAATGTCTAACAAACTATAATGTGTCTGAGCTGATGTAACCTGAAAAGTAGCGGCATATTCCCTCGCTCATCTCTATCTTCAAAGATATTTCTGAAGTTATTTTATTACTTCGCTGGAAAAAACAAAACAAAAAAAATCACCCGAGGATAAGCATTTCAGTGTAAAATTTTGGAAAGTTGTGAAAAATTTGTAAGGTAAAGGATCAAAGCATATAGTGTCCTGATAATTCATGAAAATAATGACTGAACGTCAGAAAGGTCAGAGTTCCTGTTTACTGTGATGGGAAAGACTGTGGGGTGAGCATATTTGGCAGAGCTTGGGTAGGGTAGAGATGGGAATACATTTTGGATATGATAAATTGAGGTATTTATTGGGCCACCAAGTAGATTTGGTTGTTATGTATCAATAGTCGTTTTTAATCTAGAAGAATCCCATTCCCTTGATGGTACTTTTTTGAAGAGTTCAGGTCTGTTTTCTAGTAGAATGTCTCACATTCTGGATTTGTTTAATTGTTTTCTAATAATTGCTTAAGGTGAAACGTGCTTTTTACAAGAATACAACATAGGTGACATTGTGTGTCTCTTACTGTATCACATAGGAGGAGACATATCAGATTGCGTTAGTCCTTTTAAGTTTGATCATTTCGTTAAGCTTGTGTTTCTAAATTTCTCCATTGTTAAGGTAGTTTTCCCTGTTTAATATTAGTAAGTAGGCTGGGCACGGTCGCGCCTGTAATCGCAGCACTTTGAGAAGCACAGGTGGGTGGATTGCGTGAGCCCAGGAGCTTAAGACCGAACTGGGCAACATGGTGAAACCTCATCTCTACAAAAAATACAAAAATTAGCAGGGTGTGGTGGTGTACACCTGCAGTTCCTGCCACTCGGGAAGCTGAGGTCAGAAAATAGCTTGAGGCCAGGAGGTGGTGGTTGCAGTGACTCCACATTGTACGGCAGCCCTCCAGCCTGCATAACAGAATGAGACTGTGTCTCAAAAATAAATATCTGGGTGTGGTGGCTCCTGCCTGTAATCCCAGCATTTTGGGAGGTTGAGGTGAGCAGATCGCCTGAGATCAGGAGTTTAAGACCAGTCTGGCCAACATGGTGAAACCCCGTCTCTACTAAAAATGCAAAAATTAGCCAGTCATGGTGGCTCATGCCTGTAATCTCAGCTACTTAGGAGTCTGAGGCAGGAGAATTGCTTGAACCCGGGAGGCAGAGGCTGCAGTGAGCTGAGATTGCACCACTGCACTCCAGCTTGGGCAACAGAGTGAGACTCTGTCTCAAATGAACAAACAGTGGACAAATGCGTTAGGACACCTAATAACTTTTAACATATATTTTTATTCCTTTTACCTATTCAGTAACATAAACTTGAAAAATAGTTCTTTCATCTTAACAGTTTTATAATACAAGATTTGTTTCTTATGTAATCAGAAGTGGAAATGCAGTGGGAGAGGGCAGTGGTAAAGCCAGCCTCAGTGGCTGTGGGTGGTTGTGTTTGCACGTGTTTGGAGGGTGGTGCTGACTACAATCTTGATGTATAAAACTTGCCTGGTTCTTTATAGCTGTTATAAAAAAAGTTTTGCTTCTAAAATTATAAGCAACATTATATTCTTAGTCTTACTTCAGTGATCTTGGTTTGAGTTAATGATATATGTATTTTTTTACAGGTTTAAATGTGATACTGGTATAGATCTCCTTGTCCTAAGGTAATGTTTTATTTTTTTGAAACTGTATTTTATTAAATTTATTAGTCAAGTAGTTGGTCTAGAAAGTAAATTTCAGTTACTAAAATTGTATCAGTGACTAATTGACTTACCACCTAGCCTTATAGGCTTTATCTGTCACAGAGAATATTGTTATCCTGAGGAGAATAATGGTTACTACACCTGTAGGGTACAGTAATATGCTTAGTACTTGTGTGTTGAAGAAAATTAGTAGGTTGTTATGGAACCTCGGGTTTACACATTTTTGGTAAATCTCAGTTTGCCTTAGGATCCTTGAACATTGGGTTGAATACATTTGTTTCCTAGGGCTGCTGTAACAAACACTACAAACTGGGGTGCTTAAACAGCAGAAATTTGTTTTTATTCTCTTACTGGTCTGGAGACTAGAAGTCCAAAATCAGTTTTGGCAGGGCCGTGCTCCCTCAGAAGGCTCTAGGGGAGAATCCTTCCTTCCTCACTCCTTCCCAGCTTCTGGTGGTTGCCAGCAGTCCTTGGTGTTTCATGGCTTTTAGCTGCTTCACTCCACTCCAGTTTCTGTCTCTTCAGATGGTCTTCTCCCTCTGTAGCTTTCCTACGTGTAAATCTCCTTCTCCTTTTTTTCTTTCTTTCTCTTTTTTTTGGAGACAGAGTCTCACTCTGTCACCCAGCTTGGAGTGCAGTGGCATGATCTTGGCTTACCACAATCTCAACCTCCCAGGCTCAGGAGATCCCACCTCAGCTTCCCAAGTAGCTGGGACTGCAGGTGCAAGCCACCACACCCGGCTAATTTTTATAATTCTTGTAGAGGTGGGGTTTTGCCATGTTGGCCAGGCTGGTCTCAAACTCCTGGGCTCAGCCTCCTAAAATGTTAGGATTACAGGTGTGAGCCACTGTGCCCTTAATCTCCCTCTCCTTATAAATGCATCAGTCATTGGATTTTGGGGCCCACCCTAAACAACTATGACCTTGTCTTAACTTGATTACATCTGTAAATACCCTCTTTCCAAATAAAGTTACACTCCCAGGTCCTGGAGTTAGGACTTGAACTATCTTTTGGGGGAACACAATTCATCCGCAGATAGGTGAGAACTGGCTCATGTTATAGTGACATGAGGATGCGGTCATCATTTAACTTGTAAAGTTATGTTCTAGGAGGTACTAAAATATTTGGGAATTAGTATAGAAATGAAAGTAAATACATATTGGTTATTATTAATGAGCCTTTCTTTTTTTTTTTTTTTTTTTTTTTTTTGAGACAGTGTCTTGCTCTGTCGCCAGGCTGGAGTGCAGTAGCACAATCTCCGCCTCCCGAGTTCAAGCGATTTTCCTGCCTTAGCCTCCAGAGTAGCTGGGACTGCAGGCACGCGCAACCATGCCCAGTTAATTTTTGTATTTTTAATAGAGACGGGGTTTCACCATGTTGGCCAGGATGGTCTCGATCTCTTGACATTGTGATCCACCTGCCTTGGCCTCCCAAAGTGCTGGGATTACAGCGTGAGCTACTGCACCTGGCCATTAGTGAGCCTTTCTAAGAAGGTGAATGAGATTTGAGGAAGTCATGAAAGGAAGGAAAGTTCTTCTCAACCGTTCTGTCTACCTGGTTAGCGTATATTTACTATTCTAGTTATTGGCTTTGGTTTTGGTCATAAGAGACTGAAAAATGTAGAGGACAATTAGAATGAAAGTGTTTTTAATGTAGCAGTACATACGATATTAGACACATGTTTGCTTTTTGGGATTTGAAGTAATGTTCTTTAAATGGCCTATACTCTATGATGCTTGTGAGTAAATACCAAATCCAGTTTGCATTAACTTTTTTCTTCATTCTCTTCCTTCATTTAAATGAAACAGCTATCTTCATCCAACAAGCCATAAAGCCATTATGTGGCATAACATCCTTTTTGAGAGGTGAATATTATTGAGTGAAAATGGCTGACAGAAGTGGGAAGATTATTCCAGGACAAGTATATATTGAGGTGGAATATGATTATGAATATGAAGCAAAGGACAGAAAGATTGTGATAAAACAAGGGGAGCGGTACATCTTGGTGAAAAAGACCAATGATGACTGGTGGCAAGTCAAGCCAGATGAGAATTCCAAAGCATTTTATGTGCCAGCCCAGTATGTGAAGGAGGTCACGCGCAAAGCTCTAATGCCACCTGTTAAGCAGGTAGCTGGTCTGCCAAATAATTCCACAAAAATAATGCAGAGTTTGCATCTTCAGAGATCAACAGAAAATGTGAACAAATTGCCTGAGCTTTCAAGTTTTGGAAAGCCATCATCGTCTGTTCAAGGAACAGGTCTTATTCGTGATGCCAATCAGAATTTTGGACCCAGTTATAATCCAGGTCAGACTCTCAACCTAAGTCTGGACCTGACCCATAATAACGGAAAGTTTAACAATGACTCACATTCTCCTAAAGTTTCCAGCCAAAATAGGACACGCTTATTTCCTGGTCCAGAGTTCTTGGACATAGAGAAAACTAGCTTCTCCCAAGAACAATCTTGTGATTCTGCAGGAGAAGGCTCCGAAAGAATACATCAAGATTCTGAATCCGGTGATGAACTTAGCAGCAGCTCCACTGAACAGATAAGGGTAAGATTAAAAATAGAATGAGGAAATACTCTAGTAAAAACCATCCTAGTAAAAACATTAGTTACGGTTTTTCTTTTAATTGAAATATTTGTAAGAGTTAAGACTTGTTTTGCTTTGTATTTTCAGAGTACATGGGTTCTCTCCTGATTTAAAGAGATAGAAAATATGTGAAATAACTTGTGGAGTTGATAAAGGTCACTTTTTGGTTTTCATAATTATTTTTATACCATTACAGGACTAGATCTACTTTTAAGTGTGGAATCTATTTTTTCCCCTCTCTCGATTGATTACGTATAAGGCAGAGGGGATTTACTTAATTTATTCAGTGATGATATTTCTTTTAATAGAAAAGTTTTTACTCTTCTACCTGTACCCATTTTGACTTGTTTCCAAGAAGTCTTCAGGTGATAATGGTTATATGAGGAAAGATGTCATTGGAATAACTGTTAACTTTTGTCTTAAGTGTCTTTAAGTATCCACACTTGATTTCAGTGCATATTACCCTGGAAAACATTTTCTGTTTTGATGTTTCTTTTTTTTGTTTTGTTTTGAAGACAAGGTCTTGCTCTGTCACCCAGGCTGTAATGCAGTGGAGCAGTCATGGCTTACTGTAGCCTGTACCTCCTGGGCTCAAGTGATCCTCTCACCTGAGCTCCTCCCCGGTAGCTAGTATTAAAGGTGTGTGTCACCACACTCACCTAATTAAAAAAATAATTGTTTTTGTAGAGACAGGGTCTCACTATGTTGCCCAGGCTGGCCACTTCCTCAACTCAAGTGATCCTCCTGCCTTGGCCTCTAGAGAGCTGGGATTATAGGTGTGTGCCACTGCACCTGGCTTCTTTTTTTTTTAACCTAACTTTCTTTCGAGATTAGGTCTATGCCATTTTATTTCTCGAGTGAAGTGAAGACATTTTAAAAGTACATGCATGAAGCTGAAACTTGAATATATTTTGAAAAGTCTAATTTTAAGTGAATTTAAAAATAATGAATTTTTGGTGTGAAGCTCTGTTGTAAAATTATTCATCAAGTCAATGAATAATTGTGAGGTGTGCCCTTAAGGTCTGATTGTCATGGAAGTAGATTCTTTCTGTAGGTTATAATTTTTCTTGTGACATTTTGGAATGAAAATAGGAAAAAGGAAGACTCCTAGAAAAACTTCTAGTGTTTGAGATGAAGGAAGCTACATTAAATAGCTCTGTCAGTTTATGATTGTGTGTCTTAATGGGTTTTTATTCAGTCTTTATGTGATACTCTGACATAGAATATATAGCTATTTTTCTATATATAGCTCCTTAGGGAATTAATTAAGACACAGGATTCCATCCAGCCATCACCACTATTTCACACTTCAAATTACATTTTATATATTATGTACACACAAAATCCTGTTGTTTATCAGGTTTTCCTTTTGTGGAATCTTGGTTTTGTATTAAGTCTAAGAACTAGTTTTAACTTTGTGGAAGTCCAGTTTATCAGTTTTCCCTTTTATAGATCATGCTTTTATGTCAAGTCTAAGAACTCATAGTTATATTAGGCTTCTCCAGAGAAATAGAACTGATAAGGGAGTGTGTGTGTGTGTGTGTGTGTGTGTGTGTGTGTGTATACAGTCATGCACTGCATAATGACATTTCAGTTAATGATGGACTTCATCTATGATGGTGGTACCTGAGATAATACTATATTCTTTTTTCTTTTGTTTTTTTTTTTGAGACGGAGTTTTGCTCTTGTTACCCAGGCTGGAGTGCAATGGCGTGATCTCGGCTCACCGCAACCTCCGCCTCCTGGGTTCAGGCAATTCTCCTGCCTCAGCCTCCTGAGTAGCTGGGATTACAGGCACGCGCCACCACGCCCAGCTAATTTTTTGTATTTTTAGTAGAGATGGGGTTTCACCATGTTTACCAGGATGGTCTTGATCTGTTGACCTCGTAATCCACGTGCCTCGGCCTCCCAAAGTGCTGGGATTACAGGCGTGAGCCACCGCGCCCGGCCGATAATACTGTATTCTTAATTCGCATTTCTGTGTTTAGATACCAGATACTTGACCATTTTGCTCCAGTTGCCTACAGAATGCAGTACAGTGCAGATTGTACAAGTTTGTAGCCTAGGAGCAATAGGCTATACCATCTAGTTTTGTGTAAGAACACTCTGTGATGTGTGCCCAAAATGAAATTGATTGTTACATTTCTCAGAAAATATCCCCATCGTTAAGTGATGCATGAAGTTCAGAATTTGCAGGGTGGACTGGCAGGCTAGAGACTCAGGGAAGAGCTCATGTTACACTTCAATACACTTCGATACACTTGTCTGATGGCAGAATTTCTTCTTGCTTGAGGTAGGTCAGTCTGTACTATTTGACGGATGAGGCCCACCCACATTCTTGGGGGCAATCGGCTTTACTCTCAGTCCACCTTTAAAAGTGTTAATTTCATCCAAGTAAAACCACACTGTCAAAGAAACTTTCAGAATAATGGAAATATCTGGGTATTGTGGCCCAGCCCATTTGACACATACAATTAACCATCATAGAAGCCTTAGATCCTGAATGCTATCTTACTTTTTTTTTTTTCTGTTCCCATCAGCAGTGGATGAGAGTTGCACCACATATTAACCAGCATTTGTTATTACTAGTTTGTTGGATTTCACCCATTCTAATAGATGTACGCTATCTCATCATTTTAATTTGTATTTCTTAATAACAAACAGTGTTGAGGATCTTTTCATATGCTTATTGTTTGTCATCTTTATATCTTCTTTGGTGAAGTGCTTATTCAGGTATTTTGTCAGTTTTTAACTGGGTTGTTTTCTTATTGATGAGTTTTAAGAGTTCCTTATATATTTTGAATGTAAATTCTTTAATCAGATAGATGTTTTACAAATACTTCCTCCCAGTCTATAGCTTGTCTTTTCATTCTCTTAACAGTGACTTATTAGAGCAGTAGTTTTCAATTTTAATAAAGTACAAAACTAAACAATTATTTCTCTCTTGGATTGTATTTTTACTGTTGTATCTAAAAACTCATTGTCAAACTGAAAATCACCTAGATTTTCTTCTTCACTTCTAGAATTTATATAGTTTTTCACCTTAAATATAAGCCTGTGATCCATTTTTACTTAATTTTTTGTGAAAGGTATAAGGTCTTTATCTAGGTACATTTTCTTCACATGTAGCCATCTAATTGTTTGACCATCATTTGTTATAAAGACGTTTCTTTCTCCATTGAATTGACTGTTCCTTTGTCAAAGATCAATTCACTATATTTTTGTGGGTATGTTTCTGAACTTTTTATTCTATTCTATTGATCTGTCATTCTTTTGCTAATACCATGCTGTCTGGATATAATGTAGCTTTATAATAAGTGTTGAAAATAACGAATATGTGTCTTCCTACTTTGTTGTACTTCAGTATCGTGTTGGCTATTCTAAGTCTTTTGCTTTTCCGTGTAAGGTTTAAATTTTACTTTGTCCATATCTACAAAATACTTTGTTGGGATTTTGATTGGAATTGGGTTGAATCTATAGATCAAATTGGAAAGAATTGACATCTTAACACGAGAGTCTTGTAATCCATGGACAAGGACCACGTCTTCATTTATTTAGACTGCTTTTGATAACCGTTCATTAGAGTTCTGTAGTTTTCTGTACCCTTTAGCTATCACCCCACTGTCCTCTATGCTCCACAGCACCAATCAACCGTTAATCTACTCTCTATCTCTAGATTTTCCTATTCTAGACCTTTTATTGCAGTGGAATAATATTTATGTGTCTTTTGTGACTGGTTTCTTACACTTAGCTAAATGTTTTCAGTGTTCAGCCATGTTGTAGCATGTATCAGTATTCATTCCTTTTCATGGTGGAATAATAATTCTCTTGTTTATCTATCTGCCACTTTTGGAGCATTTTGGTTGTTACCACCTTTTCTGGCCAGTATGAGTAATTCTCTATAAATGTCTGTAGACATGTTTTTATTTCTCTCGAGTAGATACCTAGGAGTGGAATTGCTGGGTAATAGGGCAAATTTGTGTCTAACTGAGGAACTGCCAGAGTGTTTTCCAAGGTAGTTGTACCATTTTACATTTCTACCAGCAATGCATAAGGGTTCCAGTTTCTCCACATCTTTGTCAATACTTTTTATTATCTGACTTTTTGCTTATGGTTATTCTAGTGAGTAGGAAGTATCTGATTGTGGTTTTCATTTGCATTTGCCTCATGATTAATAATGTTGAACATCTTTTTATATGTTCATTTGCTATTTATATATTTTCCTTGGAGACATGTTTATTCAAATGCTTGGCACATTTTTAAGTTGTGTTGCCGTTTTAGTACTGAGTTGTAAAAATTCGTTACATAGTTTTGGTAGAGGTAACTTACCAAATATGTGATTTGAAAATATTTTCTCCCATCTCCCAACATCTCTTCTGTAGTTGTTTTTTCATTTTCTTGATAATAGCCTTTTTTTAAAGAGGCAAGATCTCACTAGATAGTCCAGGCTGGAGTGCAGTGGCTATTCACAAGTGCAGTCATAGCTCATTGCTGCCTTGAACTCCTGGGCTCAAGTGATCTCCTTAGAAGCTAGGACTACAGGGTATACACTACTGCACTGGGCTTGATAATGTCCTTTTAATCACAAAAGATTTTAATTTCGGTGAACTCCAATTTATTTTTTTGTTTTTGTTGATTGTGCTTTTGGTGTTTTATCTAAGAATCTATTGCCATATCTGAGGCCATAAAAAGATTTACTCTTATATTTTCTCTTGTTTTATAGTTTTAGCTCATACATTTAAGTTTCTGATTCATTTTGAGTTACTTTTTATGTATGGTGTCAAGTTAAGGGTCCAACTTCATTTTTTTCTATGTGGCTATTTAGTTGTCCCAGTGCATTTTGTGGAAAAGACTTATTGAATGGTTTGGCATCCTTGTTGAAAATCATTTGACCAAAGACACATGGTTTATTTCTGTACTCTCAGTTTTATTCCATTGATCTGTTTATCCTTATACATGTA